TGTCTGTCTGTCTGTCTGTCTGTCTGTCTCTCTGTCTCTCTGTCTTCCTTTCCTATTCCAATCCCAGTTTTCTAAATTACTCTCTGTTCTTATCCACCCATCTATCCATCCATCCATCCAACCTTTTAACAGTTACTTATGACCAGAAATGGCATAAAATCCTGGGATTCAACACAAATCATTAAGCAGAGAACATGGGGATTAAAAGAAAGCTCATGTGCATGTGTCACTTCTAAACCATTCAGAGACATTAGAAGAGGATGCATGGTTCCTTTCAGGATTGTATGTTTATATTCATTTATCAGGTCTGTAATTCTGGGTATTGGGGCCAAGGACAGAAAACTTGTGAGAGACATGTACCCATGAGACCCCATGGCATTCACTTACCTGCTGTTGACTGCAGGATTTTATGTGTAAGGTCTTGGAGAATGGTCTGGATTTTCTCATCCAGAGAAGCTGGAAGCCCTGTGGAGAGACCATCACTCTACCTGAGGTCCAAGGCAGTGAGATCTCTGCCTGCTGCCAAATGGCACCAGCTGCAAGCCTGAAACTCTGCCTATCAAGTGTCTAAGCATATTGCCAGGCACAAAGTTACAAGGGCACACAAAGTGGCATGCTTCCACACTGCCCTATCTTCCAAAATAGCCTTGTACTGTTCAGCCCCTTCCTGCCCTCCTTTCCTGTTCTGCCCCTGGTACTCCTCCACCTGCCCACTTTGTGCACTAATCCAGCATCTGGAAGGGGCCCATCCCCCACCCTCCACCAGCTCTGACAGTCTCTGCTTTCTTCTGATGGACCTCCACATGCCTACAGCAAGCTGCTGGGCCCCTCAGCATGTGAGACTGCCAATCATAGCCACTGCCTGAGTGCCTGATCCACACCCCTGGGCACCTTGCAGAAAGGCTCCTAAAGCCCCAGACCCAGAAAGGGGCTCCCCTATTCCCAGTGCCATCCCTCTTCCCCTCTGTGACACCTCAACTTTATCAACACCATGATGCATGGAACACTGTCTTGCCTGTCAGGCCCCAAATGGTGACCACATTCCTCCAACACTCCTTGTTTCTCTCCTCAACCACACACTCTCTTACATCAGTGAAGCACTATGCCTTGGGCTCCTCTGCCATCTGTCTCCCATGTGACTGATTGCACAGCACTCTGCCCACACCACCACTGGTCATCCCTGTCCCTCTCAATCCCACTCACCTGGAGGGCCCCTCTCACCAGGGTCCCCTTTGTCTCCACGTTCTCCAGGGACACCAGGCAGTCCACTCATCCCATTACACCCGGGGAACCCTGGCATTCCTCCAGGGGGACCCATGGGGCCTGCAGAGGAAAGGGGACACGGACTTGTGGCCCTCCACTGTCTCTGGGCCAGCTCACCTGCTCTTCCTCGGGCACTTTGAAGACAGACTCTCCAAAAGGCCCTAGAATAAGGGTCCTTGGAGATTACCATCATGCCTAGGCCAGCTGAACTCTTGGACCCACCTGAGACCCCTGAAGAAATGGGCCTCCTGACAATGGGACTCTGTCCCTTGGCTGGGCCTATAGTATACCCACAGTACCTGGGGGTCCAGGGTCTCCTTTCACACCATCTCTCCCATCTCTACCAGGCAAACCATGGGATCCAGGAGTTCCAGGAATACCGGGACTTCCAACACAAAATTCTGTGATATTGCATATGATGCCAGAAATTGCCATTAAGATGAGGGTGAGGGCCAGAAAGTACAGCCGCATGGCTCTGGCTTCAGCTGCTTCTCCTGTAGAAGAGAAAGAAGCAGTCCTGTGTAAGTCATCTTTAAATCTTTCCCCCAACCTTGTGCTTTGTCAGTACTCAAGTACCTAAGGCTAGGCAGGTTCAGAAGAGAGCACTGGTAAGACCCAAGTACCTACAGACAGAAATTCCCAGCATCAACAGGCATCTAACACAGCCCCAGGCCCCTCCTGGTGGCTTGCAGCGACGGGTGCCTTGGGTAGGTACCAAGCACAGTGAGGCATGTGGAAATCAGAGGCCCAGATTCTCCTGTGAGTACTGCCTCCGACTATGACCTGGGGAACTCACTGTATGTCTGACCTCAGCTCAGAGACAACCTCGAAGAGACAACCTAAGAAGGAGCAGAGGTGACCTGGGCTGCTAGGATGTCTCTGCTAACTCACCAGTGGTGAGGAGAGGCTCTCCCTTAGGCCTGTGGCTCTCAGGCTGATTCTCACTGCCAAGTCCACCCAAACACCCAGGGCTGGGGAGGTCAAGCTCACCCACACTCAGAGCCTCAGGCTGCTTGGGCCACTGTCTCCCACTCAGAGCAGAGGCAGATAGCACCATTTATAGAGCAAGGACTGTGAGCCTTCCTCTCCATCCTTGAGAGGCCCATAACCCAAGGGCCTCCACTCTAGGGAGGGCGGGCAAAAGAGACCATCCTGTTTACACAGCACATTTCTCTGCAGAGCACTCAGGCTGGAGGAGCACTTAGCCTTGAGGGGAGCACAGAACCTAGTGAAGAAAACTCCAGGCTGTAAGTGGGGGAAGCTCCTCTGGCTGAGGCCACCAACTCTATTCCTAGCAAGCAGTGGCAGATGAACACCTTTTCCAGGCATAGACTTATTCAGGCCATCTCATCCCTGGTGTGGATCTATGCCGTGCAGAGGCTGTGTTGAGTTTAAGGCAGTGGTGTGAGCTGAGCACGCTGTCTGTCCTGGGACCTGCCTCTGCCAGAGCTGCAGGCCTCCCAGGGGCTACCTCTGGGAGCTGAGTTGGTGGGCAGATGGGCAGTGCAACATGCAAGCACACGTTTCTTATTCCCTGCCCTGGAGCTGACTCTGTGAGGAGGCAGGAGACAGCCACATTGCTGGCTCGGGCCGTGGCTACTGGTGTTCACCACAGTAGTGTTTCCTCTCAGTGGCTCAGTGGTATCCTAACAGGTGAGATCCCCTATTCAAGACACCTGAGGGGACTCTCTTAACTGCAGAGGGGGGAAACAAAACAAGAAAAAGTCCCATGCCTCCTTGTGAGTGGTTTGGAAAATCTTGAAATCCTTAGGGAGTGTGGAGACGTTTTAGGGAGTGGGAGTTCAGCTAATAGCACTCACTAATCACAAGAGAAATGCAAATCACCTCAACTCAGTAAGAAAACTATTATCAGAAGGTTAAAAAAAGACAACTGCTGGGGAAGATGTGGGGAACAGAGGCCACTTGTACATTACCCGTGGGAGAGTAAATCAGTGTAGGCTTTGCAGAAAACAGCATGGAGGTGCCTCAAAAAATTAAAAATGGAACTACTATGCCATGCAACAACTCTGCTCCTGAGTACACAGCCAAAGGAGATGGAGTTAGTACATAAAAGAGATGCATGCACTACCATGCTTGGCTATTCACAATAGCCAAGAAATAGAAGCAGCCTATGTGTCCATCAATGGATGAATGGATAACAGCTCCTAGAACAGTGAGGGCAAACCTTTCAGAACCTTCAATGATACAAACTACCCGCTGCTGCATGTGTGCCATAGTTCCCTCCACTGTCCTAAAAGATGACACAGGAGAAAGTCCAAATGCTCTTGGATTTGGGGATAAGTCCTTAGATGTAACCCCAAGACATAATTCCTGAAAGCATCACCTGCATAAAGCCTGAAGACTACTAAATGAAAAGGTGCTGCCAGCTGTGACGTGCATATTTCCTTGCACAGTGGATAGGGCACTCGCTTTGCGAAAAGTGAGGTTTGTACCTCAGGGAGATGGGGAAAAGATAAAGACTACAGGGTACTGATTAACACAGATCAGTGAGGCAAACTGGAGGTACAGAAACAGACCCATACAAAGTGTCCAACTGATTTGTGTCAAAGGGACAAAGTCAATTCGATTGAAGGAGAAACATCCTTTTTAACCTCCTAGTACCTGGGAGATTGGACATCCATGGATACTGTGGGGGAAGGAAGAGGAGAAGGAGGAGGCAGAGAGAAGAAAAATAAGGGAAGGGACCATAAAGGAAAAAGAGTGGGGAGAGGAAGGGAGGGGAGAGGGAGGGAAGGGAAGGATTGTGAAGGGATGGGGAAGGGATGGGGAAGGGAAGGGAAGGATTGTGAAGGGAAAGGAAGGGAAGGGAAGGGAAGGGAAGGGAAGGGAAGGGAAGGGAAGGGAAAGGAAGGAAAAGGAAGGGAAAGGAAAGGTAGGAAAGGAAAGGAAAGGAAAGGAAAGGAAAGGAAAGGAAAGGAAAGGAAAGGAAAGGAAAGGAAAACACTCTCAGGCTGGAGAGGCTTCCCTGAGAGGCAGGATGGGCCACTCCTGGACCATAGCCTGGGGAATTCAGGAGAATTATCTTCTGCCTACATGGTGAGAAGAAAGAATCTTAAAATGACTCCCAGGCTAATCCCCACATGGGTGGGGTCTGTCTGACTCCTGGTCTGTAAGTGTCCTTAGCTCCAACGTCCCCCTGAGCCCACCAGTCCTGGTGAACAGAGTGGTTGGCATGTCCCTGGCTACTCAGGCCAGGCTTTCAGGGTCACACCTCAAGGACTTAATTCAAAGAAGTCATATACAGAATGGTCATCTCTTTTTGCAAGTCAAAATTTAAAAAACTGCATTAAACAGTCAAGCAGCATGTGGGCATTCGATTGCACAATGGCTTGACCAGCCTTCTCCCATCTCCAAAATATGATCCAGCCTCATGGCACCTGACCTCCCTGACCACACAGATCACTCATTCATTCACATTCAGCTCTCGCCAGTATCTCCCAAGTAACTTCCTGCTCCAGTCTGGAGAGAACACAGGAAAAAGATATATCGGAATGTGACCCAAACAATGACACAGGACAGCAGTGCTTGGAAGCAAGGTGTGAAGAAGACAGAGGAGCCGCTGTGTGGAGGTCTTGCACATGTCCCTTGGTCTCATGGGGTCTCAGATTCCCACCTATGCAATGCAGATACCAATAGGATCTACTTCACTGGGCTGAAGGAGTGATAAACACACCACCTCTGGCAGAAGACCAGTGTGGGGAAAACCTGATCCATGCTGGAAAATGTCCCACATTTATAGTGGCAGGTCCATGCCCTACATGTGATAGGAAGTGTTCCCTGGCTCATGACCCCAGTAGAGCTCCCATCTGCATCCGCATGATTTCTAAGTTCAGGGTCTTCCCATCCCAGCTTCTCGTGAGTTTCCAGTGCTTTCTTGTGTAAGGCACAGAGAGCACCTGCTGAGTGGGCACAGGGGTTCATATGGGGAAAAAAACTAAAGGCAGAAAGAAAGAAGACAAGTAAAATCACAATTCAGAAATTGTTCCATTAAGAAAAACAGCAGCTGCAAAACACATTTACACAAGTCTCTTTCCCAGGGAATTTACTCAAAAACAATTTAGAGTCTGAAGGACACAATGAGCCTAGCCGGGCTGTGGGCCCAGCTTCTCCACTGTAAATGGTCCATTGAGCTTCCCCCACCGACCTCCAACCTCAAGGAAGGAGAATATTGGTGGGCAGCTGATCTGAACTTCAAACTGGGTCAGGGGTTTGCACTCTAACCTCACCCCTGGCAGGCTGTAGGAATCCACAGCCCACCCAGGTCACCAGTCTAGAAGAAGCCCCAAGAGCCCACACCACCATGCACCTCTCCCAGGATGCTCACTCCGTTCTCTCTGAAGGTGTACTTTTAAAATTCTGCCTTGTGAACCTCTTTATGTCTCTCAGTTATGCACCTTGAAAATTCTTCTTCTGTGATATAAATCAGGGAACATATACCCTGCCTCATGAGTGGGTGAATTTAGGTCCTTATCTTCTCTCTAAGGAATCCACTTAGACCCATTTATATAAAAATTTTAAATATGAACATTAATACTAAAAAGTGAATTTGTGCCCCATACATGGCCTGAGCCAGGACCAGCCCCTGCACATCTAGCCCAGCCCCCTCCTCCTCTATGAGAGCTGCTGTCACTCTGCTCCACACAGTCACCCTGGCTGCTAGGGCAGCAGACTCACTCAAGTTCCAAGCAGATGCAAGTTCCCGTGGCTCAGGAAGCACACACTGCCCGTGGCCACAACAGGCAGTGGTCTCCAGAGAAGGCCTGCAGGGAGTTTGCAGCATGAGTGGGGCCTGCTGAGGAGTAACTGTGGCAGGTGACCACCGCAGGGACAGTGATCCCTAGCCAGACCTGCTCCCACCATAAAGCCTTGGCTGGACATCCCAGTAGCACTGTTCCTGCATTTACCTGCTGCCCCAGCACCATGTGCTATTGATACTGCAAACCCAATAGGACATATGAAGAATCTATAAAAGTTCTCATCTGATATCTGTTCTGGTTCTCAGAGTAACAGGGTGCAGAAGGAGAGGAAAGGAGCCCCGGAGAGTGTGGGAGACAGCAATGCAGCACTGTATTATAGGTAGCTAAGTTAGATTAAAATATAACGGACAGTCAGACAGTGCTAGACCCTCAAAAGGCCAGTGCAGAAGCCAAGAAACATTGTACCTGTGGAGGAGACAGACAATTTCAGCTGAAGGCCAGACCTCAAGACAAAAGGTGAAACAAATACGCCACACACATTCTCTAAGAATAAACAACTGTGATATATGTAATAGGTATCCTCACCTGGGAAAGCCAGGAGGCTTCCCTGACCCACTTCCTCCAGGAAAAGCCTGGTCTGTTTCTTGCCCACTTGCTATATGATTTGCTTCCCCATTTGATCTCAATTTAATCAACTTTACCTGAACAATTATACTGATAATCTTATTGGTTGGCCATAGTTTTGTCCCGCCTCATTCCCACCTTGTAATTTCCCATTTTCCCCTACTTTGGACTCACCTCACCACATGATTTAGCTCTGTAAAAAAACCCTAGAAAAAGCAGGATCTTAAGCTACCCATTCAGAATGCCTTCTATCACTCTCTTGGACAGAAGCCTTCTTTCCCCCAATAAACATATTCTGCTCTTAACCTCCATTGTTCCTGGAATTCATTCTACAATTTTAGAGAACACAAACTCATTCTGGACATACAGCAGGTTGGGAGTTTCTTTCCCCTGTATCAGTAGGACCAGGAGGGCCTCCCCCAAGGGACCAGTAGTACCACACACCTGAGGACAGCATTATGGATAAGTCTAAAGCCAGGAGGGTGGGGCGGGCCAACAACAGACTCACAGGGACACCAATGCTGACCACTACTCCAGTGGGAAGCAAGAGCCCAGCAGCACCATTCCACGCGCTTGATGTCCTGCGCACGAGGAAAGAAGGGTACAGTGGTCTTGCTGCGTACGCCATGGCCCCCCACGAGCTACAGGTCCACTGTGCTCAAGGTGAGCCTGTCAGTCAGCCAAAGAGGATCACAGAGCCCCAACAGATGACAGGCTGTTCACTGGCAGGGACATGGGCTGGTGTCCCCAA